ATTTATTTATTATATAGCGATCCTCCTGCTTTGGCCTCCCAAGGCCTCCCATGAGCCATCATGCCCGGCACACTTTATATATTTAATTCTCACAGCAGTCCTTTTTATAATTCTATTTAACATATATGGGAATGAAAGGTTCAGAGAGGTTCAGTCATTAGTACAAAGGGACACAGCCAAGAAATGGTGGAGCCCGGATTTGAACCCAAGCTGCCCCAAGGATCCAGGGTTAGCTGCCTCTCCTGTTGTTTACCATCTATAGATCCATAACTGCCTGTCCGCCCTCCCCTAAAGCAACTGAACCCAGAGGTAGCTTTGGCTTCTCAAAAACTCCATCAGCCCCTCCTCTCCCACCAGATCTCTGACAGAGATAGTTGAAGCTTTCTCCAAATAGAAAGGGTATGTGAGTGCAGCCTGGAGAAGACTCTGGCTCTCCTTCCAACAAGACTGCCTCTTGTCTCTTGCCAACCCATCCTGGATAGATGTCTGGAGTCGCCACTGCTCAGAGTGATGGCTTCACGTCACACTGGATTGCATCCCTCCTCTGCTCCAAATCCTCCGATGGCTCCCACTTCACTCGGAGTAAAAGCCAGTCTTCTCCATGGCCCATGCAGCCCTCCAGCCTCATCTCCTGCCCCCTCCTCCCTCACTGACATCCTTGCTATTTCCCAAGCATGCTCCTGCCTCAGGGCCTTTGCATCTGCTGCTCTCTCTGCCTGGCATGCTGTTCCCCCAGATAGCCATGTCACTCTCTCCTCTCCTTCAAGTCTTTATTCAAATGTCAGCTTCTCTTACCTGACCACTCTTTTTTTTTTTTTTTGAGTTGGAGTCTCACTCCTTCTCCCAGGCTGGAAGGCAGTGGCACACATGCTCACGGCCACCCCAGTGTCGACATTCTGGCCTCTGGCAATCCTTCTGCCTCAGCCTTCTGAGTAGCTGGAACTACAGATGTGCGCTACCACGCCTGGCTATTTTTTATCTTATTGTGGAAACGAGGTCTCGCCAAGTTGCTCAGGCTGGTATCGAACCCACAGGCTTGGCCTCCCAAAGTGCTGGGATTACAGGCTGAGCCACCGAGCCCGGCTGCTGACCACTCTGTTTAAAACTACAATCTTGACCCAAATTCTCATCCCCCTTCTACTCACCAGTTTGCTCATTGTCTCTAGGGGGTAACCACTAGACTATAAACTCCACCGGACTGGGGATTTTTGTGTTTTATTCACTGATATGTCCTCAATGCCTAGCATGGTGTTAGACACATAGTACATGCTTAAGAAACATGTGCTAGCTGGGCACGGTGGCTCACACCTGTAATGCCAGCACTTTGGGAGGCTGAGGCGAGAGTACCGACTGAGCCCATGGGCTCGAGACCGGCCTGGGCAACTTGCAAGACCTCATCTGTACAATATATCAAAAAATTAGCTGGGTGCGGTGGCGCATGTCTGTGGTTCCAGCTACTTGGAAGGCTCAAGCTGAAGCATCACCTTAGCCCAGCAGGTCGAGGCTGCGGTGGCTGTGAGTGTGCCACTGCACTCCAGCCTGGTTACCAGAGTGAGACTCCGACTTAAAAAAAAAAAGAAAAAGAAACGTGCTGAATAAATGACTTGTATTTCCGTTCCCATTTCCAGATACAGTAACTGAGGCACAGGGAGGTTAAGCCATCTACCCAAGTCATATAGCTATTTAAGCACTGAGTGCAGAACCACGATTGGAACCAGGGTGTTCACACTGCTAACCATTGTACTCCACTGCCTCACTAAGACAAGCTGAGTGAATGAGACGCTTCTTTGCCTGGGAATTCAGGACTGTTGAGGTTTGACTGAATATGGGGGTGGAGGGGGGCCAGCCTCATCTCGCCACAGCCCTAATTCTAAAAGTCCAGGGAGGTCTGGGTCTAACCTTCTATAGTGTCTCCCAGACAAGCCCTTCTCAACTCCCACAGCACTAGCTAAAAGCTCTCATTTGGGGGGGGGTGTTGGGGGAGTCACTCAATCCAACAGTATCGAGAGAGGGATTAAGTATTTACAGAAACAAGGTCTGTGGTGCCACCCCCTCAGGGGTAGTGATGTGGCAGAAGTGAAGGCAGCATGGAGATGATGAGGTGGCATGGCTGCTGAGGCAGAGGGTATCGTGGTATGAAGAGTATGATGACAACACGGGTATGACGAGGACAGCAGAGGAAGGGGGTGAGTGGCCATGAGGGGGTGATGAAGATGACTGGATGAGGACGACATGATTAACAACAGTACTACCCCAACATGCCACGTCAAGCTGAGCTTGTCAAGAGGATAAACTCACAGAATCTTTACACTCATCCCTGCTGTAGGTGTCCATGTGTACATCTACAAATGAGGAAGCTGGGATTGGAAAGGTGTGATAAAAGTGGTCAAGGGTTACGCAGAGGTTTAGAGGTGGAGCTGGGATTCCGGTGCACCCCTGGTCATGGGCTCTAGTGCCCCATAGGGTAAGAGTATGTGAGATGTGACACAGGGAAACGACGGAGACACGGAGACACGGAGGGACTAAAAACGACTGTAAGGCTGGGTGGCTCCTGTAAGCACGAGGCATGGATGGTGGCTGTCAGAGGAGCCACGGTGACACGGGAGAAGCGAAGACAGGACAACGATGACATAAGGCTTGCATGAGCGCGATTAAGGAGAGGGATGGTGACAGTAGTTATTCGAAGGTGACATGGGGGTACGATGACGATATAAAAGAAGTGAGGATTTCATAAAGGAAAAATGGCAACAAAGGAGGAGTGCAGGTGACACAAGATGATGACGACGTAAAAAGGGGTGACTGCAACATATGGAGGCAATGAGAACTTAAGGGGGACAAAAGCAAGTTAGCGGGGTGATGGCGACATAAGGGTGATGGTGACAGAAGGGGAGCGGTGGCGATTTAAGTGATATGCAACATAAGGAGAGGAATAGCGGCATAAAGAGACCGAGGACGACATAAGGGAGCAATGCATTATAGACGGGAGGACAACACAAGGTGGGCAGCCGAGGCGCCTCGCCCCCAGATCGCACAGTACCTGCACTCCACGTCTCCCACTCCCGGACCCAGCCCCAATCGCACCTTTCAGAGGCTGGAGCCACGCCTGATCGCCCCCAGCCGCGCGCAGGCGCACTCCGGCTAGACTGCGGGCGGCGGGGCCAGGCATGTGCCTTTCTCATTGGCCGCGGTCCTCGCTAGCACAGGGCGGGGGGAAGCGCCGGGGAGCCGGTGGGTGGTCACGTGACGGTTACCGCCGCACTCTCGCTGGTGGTGGCCAGGCGGGCTAGAGCGGCCGCAGACGGGTCAGTTCAACTTCCGGCGGCGAGGGACGCGCTTCCGGGGTGGGCAGCCCGGGCCGAGGGAGGAATGTCTGACAGTTGGCGCCGCCGGGAGGGAGGGC